ATGGCGGCCCAGATGGGTTTGACCTGGGCTATCTTACTGCGTCCCAGATGGGTTTGACCTGCGCTATTTAACTGTGGCCCAGATGGGTTTGACCTGGGCTATCTAACTGCGGCCCAGATGGGTTTGACCTGGGCTATCTAACTGTGGCCCAGATGGGTTTGACCTGGGCTATCTGACTGTGGCCCAGATGGGTTTGACTTGGGCTATCTAACTGGGGCCCAGATTGGTTTGACCTGGGATATTTAAATGCAGCTCAGAAAGTTTTGTCTGCAGTTTCCATATAGACCCCACATGGTTTAGTCCAAATAACACAAACACTACACAGAGTATTACGTGTAACACTCAATCAGTGTTGGAGTTAATGAGATAATTAAACGATAACAAGCATAATCACTGAAGCACAGACGAACAACAAAAACAGAAACTACAACTGACTTCCAGCCACAGCTTTAGATAAAATTAATTGAAGATAATAGACATCAAATCTCTCAAGATCTCGGCAGAAGATTAAACAACTTAAACAACTCCATCTTCACCTATTACTTACCAGATAAACTTTATTTCTACCATACATCTAGAAAAGTTATAATAGTTTAAATATAATAGTTTAAAGTCACCATTATACAAATCATTTTTTGCTTTAATTGGCCAGTTTGGCTCTTGACTTTTAAATGTTAGTTTTTATCTGGCTGTTTATTATGGCAAGAACAGCAAGAGGAAACATGATGATGTTGGTTGCTTGATGAAAATAATCATCTTGGCATGGCTTAATTCACTGATCTTATGTCTTAGTTTTATATTGTGTCATACTATAAGTTATTCATTTCAATTCAAAATTCTTCTGATTCTACAGCAAGAACTCCTGTGAGTTTTACACACACAGAGACATTAAGAATTAGCATATGAATCTCAACAATGGTAACATGCTTCATGCCACAATGCATTCTGGGAGCCATGAGTTTTGTATGATGCACACAGAATGCATTGCAGCATTGATCATGTCACCATTGTTGAGATGCATACACTCATTCTTAATGTCTCTTTGTGTGTCTAAAACTCACAGTACCTTCTTTTTTAATCATCAGTTTATCTGGTGAAAACTGTTGGATCTCATGCTGTAGAGTCACAGGGTGACTATAATCAGTGGTTTTAATGAGATCAGCAAATACGGCCACAACATGATAATCACATCTGTAGTGTAGTGAAGTTTTTCTTCTTCCACGCAACAGACCAGGAGACTCTTGAGGTATCTTACACGCAGAAGTTCTTTATTGCGTAGCTGTAGTCATCTCAAAGATAGTCTAAGATAGTCTAACTAAGGGAAAACATTCCCTTACAATTTATACATTTAGAGGGGAGGAGTTTACATTGAGGGGGGGAGAAACTGAAACAAAAGTAAATGTATATGATTCAACAGACACCTCAGTTCATCAGCATAGCAGTTTTCTGTGCCTTGAGATGCTAATCTGGAGGAGTTACATTGAGGAGGAGTCTCTTGAAACAAAGCAAATGTAAATGATTCAGCAGATTACCAGAGACGCTAATCTAATCAGTCTGACCAGCGTGGTCACACTTTTACCATTACAAAAGCAAAGCTGAATCTTGAACTTAATAGCCAGGAAGCGCATAAAGACAAAAGCTAATGTGTGACACCTGGAATGCTTGGCTTAATCTTATTGGCCTCAAAATGGTAAACACTGTATACATTTTTCAGTTCAAAATACTGTTAAACCTTAATGAAACATTGAATAAATTTGTATTTCTTCAGTCCCCCCTTTTGAGAGTATTAATAACTCTCACATTATGTACAAATTTAAACACTTAAGAAAGTTCATTCATGTAACTTGTGCTAGTTACAGGCACATACTTATGTTCTGTGTTTGCTTTTTCTGTAATTACATGCTGACACAGAAAACATGCAATTAGGGTCCGTGAAGCTCTTATGGAAAAATTAAACTTCAGTTACATCTGGTGTAATTTTTTCTGAAAGATCAAGACTGTTTAACCATCATGCTTGTGCACAAGAGAGTCAATGCAGCCATCTTCGGCTGTGGCCTGCAAGGTTTCCAGCAAAAACGAGGATTGTGGAGTCTTCACTTTGTGCGATGTCCTGGTGGTTACTACATCTTGATAGTGTTGATGGATGACTGAAGGTTCCGTAAGTCTTTTCTCTGCGTTGTGTATTTTTCTTCTTTACTTTGGTGATAGTTGGCTCGGCAGCAGGTCTCGTTGTTCTCTGGAAGTGGTGGCTTCATACGCAGATGAAGACGTCTGTGCGTATGGGTCTCGGGATAGCCATCAAGTGGTATCTGCACAGAGGAAAAAGAAAAACAAGAGAGCAGTATTTCTTCAAAGACAAGGGTTGTATCCTGCTGAGTAAACACTGAGTCTGCTATTGTTCCCTCTTTCCCTATTCCTTAATTCTTGACACCTAAAGAAAACAGTGAGGTGAGGATGGACTAAATGGATGGGGGAAACCTATGAGGGAGTCTTCACCGAAAGGGTTGGCCCCCAAAGCCTGTTGCATTTGGTTCTTCCCTTGGCTCCTCACTGGTTCGTGTCAATATCATGTCCCTGTGGGTGGCAGAACTTTGCAGAACACTTTGCAATGTGACAGAACCCTTTTCAATGCGACACATAATACAAAGCTTTTTCTACCTTGACACAATACTGCCGATCAACATTACTTGATGTGGCACATGCCACTTAGGCTCTAATGGCTTGACCTGTCCTGTGACATGTGTACTTTGATCTGCGTAACCCAATTATGAGTTATTTTTCCTTCATCCTCTAACAAAAACATCAGTCGTTGTAGACATCATACGTGAGAATGGGTGAAGATAGTTAAATCAATTTCCCCCAATGGGAAAAGGTGACAAAATTGACTTTTGCTTCATTCATTAGTGCTAATACTGCGTGTGGGCATTTACAGTCTGACCTAACACTATTATTGCTGAAAGGCCTGTACTGTAGAATAACATTTAAGGCTGTGAGTTTACTTAAAGCAGTCCCCCAAAGGAAAAGCTGAGACAGTCACTTTCCTTTTGTTCTGTTAACATAACAAACATAAGTTTTTTATCTCTGTTGTAAGTTACTGGGGAAATTAAGCACTCACAGTCCAAATGGTTAACACGTCAACAAGCTGCCCCACCCGTTTAAAGACGTGGGGAATGGCGGCTTCAGAGTAGCAAGCAAACTGAGAAGTTGGGCAAAAAGGTTGCCTTCTTTAAAATTCTTTCTGCTTTTTCTACACTCTCTGCTCCAATGTCCCGGCTGACCACAGTAATAACACCTGCCCTCTCTCTTAGGACATTTACGTTTCTGTGGGTTTTCGGTGCTGACCTTAAAAGAGGCTGCTGCAATTTGTACTCTTGCCTTAACATCAAAATCTCTTTCCCAAGCAGTTAACCTGTCCAGGTTACTTCTAAGAGTTCTGTGAGACCAAGTCAGATCCAAAAATGGCAAAGCTCTTCTGTAGTCAGCTATAAGGCCATCTGACCAGATGCGGACCAGCGGTCCTTTGTCATTGAGTACACTTTCAGAATCATCCACTATTCCACTGTACGTTACAGCTGACTGACAAAACCTCTCAGTATATTCATTCACAGTTTCTTCTTTCTTTTGTACACAGTTAGTAATTCTAGACCAATCTATCTTGGGTCCTAGGATATTCTTTAGGATTTTCAGAACACCTTCTTTCAATTCATCTTTTCTGGCATGTTGCAGTTCAGAAGTAACAGCAGACTCAAAACTGTTGAATTCAGATTCAGTTAGAATTTGAGACATTAACTGTGTGACTTCTGTTAACGACATGTCGTAGAGACGCATTTTGCTGACCAATGCTCTTCTAAATTCAGTGAACTGTGTGCGTGCTGGCGGTAAACTCTGGGACAATCTCTCTATGTCTCTAGGTTCAAGCGTTGTAACAACAGTTTGGATTTGAACAACAGAAGCACTGGAAGGGACACTTTCTGACTGTTCAATTCCCTGCTGTCTTTTTCGAGCAGCACACACCTTCACTGAATTTACATGCTTATCTGTTACTGATGGGATGTCTACATCTCTTTCAAACAATGCTTGTAAGTCAGGAAAAGTTTCATCTGACTGTTGGTCTTCAGTGTTACATTTGGCTGAGGCCTGGTTATTGCCCACCTTTGTCTTGAAACAGGACAATTGAGTCTGCAATTGTTTGTTCTGTTCATTTAACTTAGCAATACACCTAGCTTGCTCTTGTGCAATGGATAAACTGTATTCTTTGTAACAACAGATAATAGCTTTCACATTGTTCTTGCGAATACTTGCTCCTAGCACTTTTTTACACTCATCTATAGACCATACTTTTTCTGGGTGAATGCCAAATTTCTTTGTCAAATTCACTCTGACTGACTGAGTCACTATGGAGTCCATGTGCTCTCCTAACAATGACTTAAATTCACTATCTGACCACAATGGAGCGGCAAGGCCACTTTTCTCAGTTGTAGGAACCAACCTAGCATTCGTCACAACCATTTTGTGAGTTTCTTTGTTATCACACAAAACAACTAACTTTCTCTGATCAACAGAGGCTACACTTGTTTACACAGATCGACTGTTGTAAACCTTCTTTGACAGAGCAAAGGAAATCCACAATATTACTAGCACTTTATGCTAATACTTCCCTGTTTGTACAGAGGTTCAAACTTTCATCTCTAAAGTACATTTTTAGAGGGTAACACCACAAAACAAAAAACAACAAAACAACAAACTATTAGCATGTTACGCTAATCTTCCCTGAAAGAAAATGGAAAGGATCTTTCACCTTCCAAAACTTTTTAGAGGATACGACCACAATAACTAGCACCAAAATGCTAATCCTTCTCTGTGAACAGAGGTTATCACCAATATTAACACGTAATGTTAATCTTCCCTAAGTTTAGAGGATATCTTCTCTAGCAACGTAGAGGCACTATTCCGTTACACAAAACTTCCCTGACTCATTCAGAGGATATCTTACGACTTCCCTGACTTATTCAGAGGATCCCAAAATATTAACATTTAATGTCAATCTTCCCTGCCTGACAACAGAGGATATCTATCATCTTTAAAAGACAACTTTTAAAGGATAACTTTAGTTAATCAAACACTACAGCTGCCTGATAACTCTTTCTCTGACGGCGCAGAGGCACAACTTTGGTACTGGTCTGGTTCTTTGAATAGAGTGAAACTCACCGAATCGTTGCTTGTATGAAAAGATTCAGTCTGGAACTCAGTCAGAAAAGTTCTTTTTGTTCTTGTTCTGGAACTCAGTTCACTTTGTTGATCTTGTTCTGGAACTCAGGTAAGATTTCTCTGTTGAAATCTTTTGTTGCAGTTCTTGATTCAGGTAAGATTTCTCTATCCGGGTCACGGCACCATCTGTAGTGAAGTTTTTCTTCTTCCACGCAACAGACCAGGAGACTCTTGAGGTATCTTACACGCAGAAGTTCTTTATTGCGTAGCTGTAGTCATCTCAAAGATAGTCTAAGATAGTCTAACTAAGGGAAAACATTCCCTTACAATTTATACATTTAGAGGGGAGGAGTTTACATTGAGGGGGGAGAAACTGAAACAAAAGTAAATGTATATGATTCAACAGACACCTCAGTTCATCAGCATAGCAGTTTTCTGTGCCTTGAGATGCTAATCTGGAGGAGTTACATTGAGGAGGAGTCTCTTGAAACAAAGCAAATGTAAATGATTCAGCAGATTACCAGAGACGCTAATCTAATCAGTCTGACCAGCGTGGTCACACTTTTACCATTACAAAAGCAAAGCTGAATCTTGAACTTAATAGCCAGGAAGCGCATAAAGACAAAAGCTAATGTGTGACACCTGGAATGCTTGGCTTAATCTTATTGGCCTCAAAATGGTAAACACTGTATACATTTTTCAGTTCAAAATACTGTTAAACCTTAATGAAACATTGAATAAATTTGTATTTCTTCAGTAGCAACAAATAACCGACATTATCTGATCACATTTTGACAAGATCTGATCCCTTCCTGTTTTTGCCTATATAAACACAGTTATAGAAGCCAGGTAAAACTAATGTTCAAGGGTGAAGAGCCCAAATAAACCAAACACTGATCAACATAACAGTGACTTCAAACTCAGATTCTAAACGATGCCAACATGATCTGATCACATTTTGACACGATCCGATCTCATCCTGTTCTTGCCTTTATAAACACAGTTACAGCAGCCAGGGAAAAATAATGTTCAAAAGTCAACCCAGCTAAAGCAAAATCCAATCAACATAATGGTGACTTCAAACTCAGATCAGAATGATGGTCAAAACACAATATACTTAAACCTTTCTGTCAGTATAAATCATGTATATTTCGGAGAAGTACATCATATCAGGGTCCTGCCCTGACAGTCTTGTCTGTTTTGCCTTTGTCTGTTTCTTTGGATGATTCTCGGATGATTTGAATAGTTATTTAACTAACGTTTACTGTATTGTAATATACTATAGATAGATAGATAGATAGATAGATAGATAGATAGATATGGCACTTTTCCATTACCAGTACCAGCTCGACTCGGCTCGCTTTTCGTTCCGTTTTCCATTGCAGAAAGTAGCGCCACAAACAGTACCCGGTCGTCATAGCGACGCCTTTCGTTCCTTGTTGCCCTATCAATCTTTTGCAGTATCCTCTCTTCGGCCACCAAACAAAGGAAGGTCTGCAACTCCTCGTTTGACCACGGCGTATTCTTCCGAGTTGCCATAATAATAGTAGTAAGTTTAGAAACTATCTCTGGCCAAACTATTTAAAAATAGCGGGGTTATTCTGGATACTCCATCTGGCGTGTGTAATGATGACGCAGTGAATGGTGATGATTCTCTCTGACCAATCAGCTGTCGGCATTGTTTTCACATCACATTTTAGTACCGGCTCAGCTCGCTCAGAACCTCGCTGGAAGTGATACAAAAAAAGTACCCGAAAGCAAGTACAGGTACAACTTTTACACAGTGGAAAACCAAACAAAGGCGAGCCGAGCCGAGTCGAGCTGGTACTGTGTAGTGGAAAAGCGCCAATAGATACATAGAGTGAATAAAACAATGTGTGTGTGTGTGTGTGTGTGTGTGTGTTATCTGTTGCACCTATAAATATATTTCTATAATAAACAAACGTATATATCTTACCGCACATTTACATCCAAAATGGTAATTAATCTACAAATAGTAGAAGCAAAAGTTTAACTATAACTGTTCAAACATTACGTTCTATAACGATTACTGTCCACAATCTGGTCTAGCATGCGCTGAACACCTCTGAAGTAAACTAACCCTGGAACAGATGCTGCTGCAGCGCAGGTTATGTTCAGAGAGTAACTTCCTATCATCCAGGTGGTGCTGCACATTGGTGGGGGTTGAGGAGACCCCCCCCCCCCCTTCCTCCATGTAAAGCAATTTGAGTGCAGAGAAAAGTGCAATATAATTGTAATTAATTATTATTATTATTATTATTAGGCTACTTGCATACCGTTGAGGTTCCTCAAATACTCTGCTCACTTTATTTTATATTGTGCTTCTTTTCCACTTTGCTGGATTGTTATCTTCATTGTGTGAGAGCTTTTCTTGCTTGCCTACAGGTCTTTTCCCTGTCATTTCTAGTTTTGTATTTATTTCATTTATATTTTTCGGTGCACTTGTTTTTTTCTTTTATTATTCCAGTCAAGTTCAAGTTTTTATTTTGCTCTTGTAATCCAGTGCCTTATTTTTGGTTTCTCTTTAGATTTTTATTTTATTGCTAAATAATCTTTTTTCTCTCTCTCTAGGTCACTGCAAGGTTGTAGCTGTTTTTGTTACTTGATGTTTGCTAGTAACACATATTCTAGAATTTTATTCCTTTTCTTTTCTTTTTTTTCTTTGCTAGCTCCAGTATTTTTTTAATTTTTTTTTTTTTTTGGACTGTTCCCACCTCACCTTGTTGCTAATAAATATCAAAATCCTGACACAGGATTCCAGTATATAAGTCCAGCAATCCAGTATATAAAAAGTTGACAGAAAGTATACTGTCTTATTTTTAGTTTAAACTAAGCATTTAAATAGCACACTTAAAAAAGGAAGGGGACCTACCCACGGCTTGGGGAACGAAATGTGGCAATGACAGCCACACAAAAAGCACATTCAAGTCAATCATTCTGTATGAAGTCAGATGATTTGAACAGTTATTGTTACACATTGGGTCTATGTGAAGATTAATTACCATTTTTGTTGTAAATGTGATCTCTATCTTCATTATCCTCATTTATATTATTTATCTGTGTAGTATTATTTTCATATTATCACTGTGAAGCTGCTTTGATACAATCTGTATTATACAAAGCGCTATATAAATAAATGTGACTTGACTTGACTTGATTAATAAATTAGACTTCATGATGATCAAGTTTAAAGTAAATATCATTGTTACTCGTAACTTATAATTTATATTCTTTATCACAGGATATTCTCTGTTCCAAAGCGGGAGCACTGTTAGCATGAAAGCCCGCCAGGAGCCTGCTGTACACTTACATAAATGGTTTGAATCAAGCTTAAGGTGGCCCTTAATCACATTCTGGTATCTTCAAATTTGTTGTAACTGTATAGATTTATCATCTTGGTGATGGAGCACTGGAATTATAGGAAGCAAATTGAACCTAAATTTATATATTTTATAGTATTATCAGCATAACGATTTGAGTGAATTTTGACTTGTAATTTACATTTTTTAGAGTGACATTTAAGGATTGCTTTGCACAGAGCATCAATCTACTACCTGCCTTCATGAGCACAGGATGATAAATTACCCAGGGAAAACCTCTGATCCCTTGTTAGCTTTAGGGTTGGAAAGGCTCTCCGCTTCTATAAGATGGGTAAAATCTTACAGAAGAAACGTTTTAACAGATGTTAGACTTAAGGACCCTGAATAAATTCGGTGATAATAGTTTTGGTAACAGTTTAAATAAAGGTCTGTCATTAAGAAATAACTATGCAGGAAGTAATGCAGAACTAGTACTACATTAACACTACACTATAAAAAAAATTCGTAATTTGAACGGTAAAATACAGTAAAAAAGCAACGGAAAAGACATGCTTAACAGTATGTACACTTATTATATACCGTGAAAAACTGTAATAGCTCTCACGGGACATTTCAAGTAGTTTTACAGTAAAAGACTGTTAAATGTATGGATTTCACTGTAATGTTTGAACTTAAATTTACAGTAAAAAACTGCCTGCTAGCTGGTTTAAAAGTGATTTACCGTAAAACAAAATATGGTAGTGATATTTTAGGTTTACAATAGTCATTATTTTGTTTTTCTTCATTTCTGATGAAATACATCTCATCGCAATAGTCATACTTTCATAAAATCATGCAACATACTCTACCTTGTCTGTGGACATCATTCATTCCAAACCCGGTGCTGGATAAACAACGAACGTGTGAGCAACTGCGGTAGGCTAAATTATTTACGACAGCGGTAATGGACAATTCCGCGTCCAACCTGTAGGGCGACCAAAAAAAGTTACTTTAGGAGGAAAAGTTACTTTAATGAGATTAGCCTTATTAATTACTATTAACTGACTGACAAAATATAAAGAACATTCTTGTGTGTCTGAGATAGAATCAGTCATCATTTTTACTCGAGTATGGTCATAAAATGCATCACTAATTACTATCTAGTAATTCTTAGGAACTACTAAAACTGTTTCGTCGGATCCTTACTAAAAGTTTACGTGTGCCCGAAAGCCAAAATGGCGTACGACAAAAAATATTCAGATTTATAAAACCATTCGTACGCCAGAACCTGAGCAGAATTCCCTTTATAAACCCCAGTGGTAACACTTTATAATAACTACACGCTAATAATCATTAGTTAAGCATGAGTAAACCATTACTTCATCATTCATAAAGCATTAATAGACATTAATAAGCAGTTCATAAATACAGCTATAAATGCTTTCTTCTTGATTTAAAAGCATATCTATAATTTGTTTAATAATTGTATTTTCATCCTTTATTAATGATCAATTTATCATTTCTAAATGAAGAATTGCATTTTTTATGAGCCAGTTATTTAAGAGTTGTCCGTGGTTCATACGATTACTTAGAGCGAGTAAGTAAATGATTAATAAACTATTTAAATGTACATTCATACATCTTATTATTCAGACATATAGTGATGGTTACTTAATGTGTTAATAAATGCTTTATTAACATGTATTAATGCTGTAATTAAGGATTAATTTAGGTAGTTATAAAGCATTTAGTAGTGGTCAGTTAACTATTTTTGTGACCTAATCTAAAGTGAGGACTAGTCATGCCTTGTAAAGCATTTTTAAAGGCTGTTAAATATTTCTGTTCTGTATCACTGCGTTGTGTTTGTTACATTTTACTGTTTAGAAGATTGACGAGTCTTTAAATCGCCTTTATAAATGCTTTACAAAGCATGAATAGTCCTCATTTTAGATTAGCTCACAAAAATAGTTAACTGACCACTACTA